TCCATTTTAGCGGCGCTCGGCGCGCAGAAAAAACGCGACGCGGCTGTTTTAGAAGGGAGGGGGGCGAAGGTCGGGGGGTTCTTGGATCGCAGGAGGTGCAGAGGGGGTGTTTATTTCCCTATTTTCCCCCTCGGTCTGCGGAAAAGGCCTCGCGACCTCCTTCAGGCCCGAGCCCGGCCGCAGGTCTCCCGGGGCCGAAACGTCGCTCCGTCCGCGGCGCGTTAATGGGAGTCAAAATAGCGTAGTCGGTCACCGCGGGGACGAGTCACGATCGCAGCGTAGACGAGGGATGTTGTGTACCGAAGCGCGCGGAGGTGTGTGTGTGTGCGTTAGTGAGCGAGCTCTTGTGAACGGCTGTGCTCTGCTGAGGACGGAGGTACGGCATCCTGTGCCTTTGGCGGAGTTCGGTCTCGCCTTGTGTTGCGTCCCGTGGCCAGTGTGCGGGCCTCGTTCTCTCGCGCCTGTCGGACGCCGCGCGCTGCGGCCTACTCGGGAGGCGAGTGAGAGGCGGCCTCGGCCCTCCCGCGCAGGGCTCGAGTGCCCCTTTGCCCCGCGATGGCCGCCGCCGCAGCGGACTCCACTGCGGCGGTGCCCGCCTTCGGTGGCGGGGCCGGAAGGACCTTCTGCGGATGCAAAGCATGCCGAGGGAGGCGACTCCTGAGGGAGAACTGTCGCCATCCGAGGGACTCCGAGGGGAACTCGCCGCTCGGCTGCCGCCAACAGACTTCTCTCTCTCTCTCTCTCTCTCTCTCTCTCTCTCTCTCTCTCTCTCTCTCTCTCTCTCTCTCTCTCTCTCTCTCTCTCTCTCTCACACACACACACACACACACACACACACACACACACACACACACACACACACACACACACACACACACACACACACACACACACACACACACACACAACACACACACACACACACACACACACTCACACACACTCACAACCACTACACACTCTCTCATTCTCTCCCCCTGTCTCTGCAGGTGTCTTAGCGCGCTAGGACACCTGTAACAAGGGCAGGTGTTAAGGACCAGTTTATGTGCGCGTGGGTGGGTGTTCACTGTGCTCATGTGGCACATGAAGTGGCGATCCGCGCCCGCCGCACATTACCATCGGGGAAGAGAAGGCGGCGGCGGCGGCGAGGACCCAAGATCCCGGCCTTTATTTCGGAATGCTCGTGTGTACAATTTTCGAAGTTATCGTTTTCTCGGAGGAGACGCTGGGAAATGTTGTTCCATGGACGGTGCGTGGTTATCGTCGCGGCTGTGCGAATAATAATATCCCGGGTGTCGTTGAAGTTACTGTGCCAGTGATTGCGACTTGGACGATCAGTGTTATCCTCACGCGTGAATGTTTGTGTTGTTCTATGATGATTTTGTTTAATGTTTCTCGGTTATTATACTGGATTGATTGCGGAGGACGAGGGGGGCGTAGACTGGGCGCCCCCTCGGTGGTGTTGGTGTGGAATATGACAGTGATTTAAAATGCAGGATAAGGAAGCCCACGCAGTTCAGTGGAAGGCAAGTCCCAGACGCCACCAAGACGTCAGACCAGATAGCAAGGGACTGTGAAATTAAATGAAGAAAATGGATAGAGAAAGGAATAGATTCGAATATAAGAAAAGGGGTATGCTTTGAAAAAAACGGAGAGGCATCAAAGAAAAAGAGAAAATGAGGAATAATGAAATTAGTCTTTAGGTGGCGGCTCTGACCTCGAGGACCGCCCGTGCTACCGTAAGGAGGGCGGTTCGGTCCCTCTCGCGCCCGCCGTCGCTAGTGCCAGGGCGTCCATCATCCCGGCGGCGGAGGGAGTGTCTTGTGGTTACTGGAACAACGCTCTTAAGGTGCTGTCACACTAGCACTTTTTCCGTCAATTTTGAAACAATTTTGTTTTACAGAAATGCAAACATTCTCTAATATAGCTCTTGATTTTACAATGCTATTCTCTTTTATAGCTATGATTTTAAAAAAAGTTGGCGGGAAGGTTTTCAGACGGAAACGATCATTATCGTCTGACTGGGAAATTAATAATTCGCTTAATTTCCTAAAATTGTCAAAAAATTGACGGAAAAAGTGCTAGTATGACAGCACCTTTTGGGGTATCCTTTCGTGTGCCGAGGAGAGAGGGGTTTGTACTTTTGGATTGTTCCCAAAGAGGATATTGGATAATTGTTTTTTATTTTATTTTATTTTATGGATTAGATTGTGTGTTTTCATATCTATTTCGTCAAATACTTTTAGGGAAATTTTAAAAAGATTATTTTTCATATATGATGAGTGTTCTAGAAGAATTGTTATTGTGAATTATTAAGGCCAGTTATATATTTTAGAAGTTATCTTTACATCGGCAGTAATTCAGGAATATCATATATAAAAAAACGAACAGTTTGCAGTGACTGTCCATCCATCGAGACGGCTATCTCAATAGGAATTTTTTTCTATCAATTTATTTATCTCCCAGTATGCCGCCTGTCTTTTTAATCCCGCCTTATCTCTCTCTTATCTCCCTTAGTTGGCTTCGCCGGCCCTTCCGTTATTCTCTCGTCTTTTGTTATCTCGCGCGGCCGACGTCATCTCCGGCGCCCTGCTTGTGTTTTCCCGCTTTCGGTGCTTGCCTGCTGGGGGGGGGGGGGCGCTGGCTCTGCTGGCTCCCGAGCGGCGTTTGGCTCCTGGGGCTTTTGGGGTTGGAGGGGGAGGGAGGGGAGGGGTGGGTTGGGGTCTTTACTTTTTTTCTGGGGTCTTGTGGATAGGTTTCTTTTTGTCTGTCTGATTGTGTGTCATTTCTCTATCCCTCTGTTTGTTTGTCTGGTTGTCTATTCTCTCTCGCTCTATCTCTCTGTTTGTTTATCTGCCTGCTTGGCCTCCTCTTCTTTTTCTCTTCTCCCCCCCCCTCCTCTCTCTCTCTCTCTCTCTCTCTCTCTCTCTCTCTCTCTCTCTCTCTCTCTCTCTCTCTCTCTCTCTCTCTCTCTCTCTCTCTCTCTCTCTCTCTTCTCTCTCTCTCTCATTTTTTCTTTCTTCCATTCTTTCTTTCGCTTTCTATTTCCCCATTCTCCTTCTAGACATGAATTATCTTTCACCAATGTAAAACGCGCGCGCGCGCGTGCGCGTGTGTGTGTGTGTGTGTGTGTGTGTGTGTGTGTGTGTGTGTGTGTGTGTGTGTGTGTGTGTGTGTGTGTGTGTGTGTGACAGAGGGTCCGAGGGGGGCGCGGTGTTCCTCAATTGGCGTCGCCGCACAAAAACTAGCGCTGGCGGTGTTACAGGCAGCCCGTCGCGGAAAATTACCCGTTCAGTGTGTCTACCTGAGGGCCTGAGGTCGCTGCTGGCCGGGTACTTTCAGAGCCGGGAGGAGTGGGGGCGGAGTTGGGGGTAGTGGGGGGTGGAGGTGGAGGTGGGAGGAGGTGGGGTGGAGGACGATGGAGAGGGCGAGGTGGTAGTGGAAGGGGTTGGAGGAGGTGGAAAGGCAGAGGAAGAGAGGTGGAGGTTAGGAGGAAGTGGAAGATGGGACGTCCGGAGGAGAGAAGACACGGAGGGAAACGGGAAGAAAAGGCGCGAAGGGAAACGGCGGAGGAAGCGATTGCTATGAACGCAGATCCCCCCCCCCACCTCCACCCCCTATGTTATGTCACGGGTTTGTTGACGTTGGAGGGGCGTTGGTTTGTGGAAGAGTGTTAGTATAGAGTGAAGTTGTGAGTAATAATCTGCAAGAATATTCCTCGCGCGGATCTATCATCACATGTATAGTCATGTAGATTCGATAAAGTACTAACTTAGTATATACTATCTGATATAATATATTGGGGTATCCTATGGTGAAGGAGATATCATTCTTTATATCCTGATCGTCGTAACACTCTCCTCGAAAAGTGGCAGGATTATGCTTAATCACAACTCTCACACCCGCGACTCATTCACTCACATCGCGCGACCATCACACACTGGACCCCATTTGCTCTCGTCGACTCGTGTTCCGCGCAACACACTCACAGCAGCACCACACGCATCGCGGGCGCACTCATGATATTCAATGAGAACTCTAGCCCTCGGATAATCGAGCGGCTTAAATAGCTAGGGTAGTCTCGGGGATTTCTATATATATATATAATATATATACATGTGCTGTCTGTGTTTCGCTCGGGGTCGCTGTGTGGGGTCGATTGTGCGGTGTCTGTATGGTTGTGGTGTTTATATAATAGATTATTTACTAATACTATCTACTCACGACTAGGAAGAGGGCGGTACGTTAGGATAGTTTACTTCTGCAAGGCTATTACCGTCGTCATTATTATATACTACGAGATCAAAGGGATATGTTTATAGATCGTGGATAAGTAGTAACTGATATACTTTATATATATAACATATATACGTATATACGTAATATATATTATATATAGTATAATATATATATATATATGTATATATATATTATACGCTGTGGTGGTGTGTGTGTGCTCGTGGTGGTGCAGTGATAGTGTAGTAAGGTGGAGATGTGCGTGCTGTGTGTGGTAGTGTGGGTGGTGCCGGAGTTGAGTCGTGCTATAATCATAACTAAAATAATTATGCAGATAGTAAGGTGAGCTTAGATATGCCTATATATAATGGAATGGGCGTGTACGGCGGAGTAATTATATGACAATTAAGTAGCTTATATATATAGAAAGTACGTATTTTTTTTGTTTTTTTTTTTTTTTTTTTTTTTTAATGTGTGTGTGTGTGGGTGTGTGTGTGTGTGTATATATATATACAACTTCTATTTATGAAAACCATTCATCGCGAATTATGGGGTACTAATTAATGACGAGCTCATATCAAGAGTTCAGCAAACCACATAGATTAGTTTTTTTCTGGAATATATTCCAGTATTCAATATTATTTTAAACGGTGGACGACAGTGATCATGAATGCTTCCACTTTTTCGGGAGGCAGAATGGATTGTCATAAACTTTTTTAGATTACAAAAAACCCTTATTATACATGGTTTAAAAAAAATAGAATGGGCAAAGTGGTACAGTATACTCTTACCGTAAGATATTTACATTTTACGGTATTTGTTATATAGACAGATGAATAAGTAGGTAGGAATGCAGATAGCTAGACGGATAGATGAAAGAGAGAGACAGAGAGAGAGAGAGATACAGGCAGAGAGAGGGGGACTATATATAATAATTATAAAGAATAATAAAAGACTAAGAAAGCCACATAGTACAGCACACAGGAAACATTGACCCAGTCGACCCACAGCCACCGAACAGCCAGTTAACAATAAACTTGTCCTTTATCATATCCACAAACCTTCTGCAACTAACTGATATCATTGTGTGATATATTCGGTATATCATTCTCTGGGAAACTGATTATGATCTAGAAAGGGAAAAGGGAAATACTATCCATGAGAGTAGTTCATTAATCTTCCTTAATTCAATATCAATCGTGTATGTCTTTGTTCTTTCTGAGACAATACTTTTGAGTGTTTGGAGCTTTCAAATAAACACGAATTAGACTGTTTATATTATACGGATGAGCGGTTCCGAAAATGCTCCGCGTTGGATGTCCCTGGTTTGTGCGCAAGAAAGACAGAATGACCAGACTAACAAAAGTGAAATGTGACTCACTACAAAATTTAAGTCAGTATCCTCCTGCAAATAATTCTCTGACGTGCGTAAAAAGGTGACC